TCATTTAAAATTAACTTGAATCAAATATCATTAAGATAAAGGGTTAACTGCTAAAGTATCATAAACTCAAAATTTTTAACAACGTTGGTGTAATGAAATTTCAATGACAAAGGGGAAGTAATCGAAATTTAAATTTACTTGAAAAACTCATCTTATGGTTCTGTCTCGCCTTTAGTCGTACACTCATTTTGTTGTTTTGTTTGTGCTGATTCGTTACGGGTTGAAGGTCAGTTTTTAGTCAAACGATTACATCACATATTTTTTAGAAGGGGTGGGTTGGTTTTGTTTTATTTTAACTTATCATGTTATTTATTAGTATAATTGCTTTATTTTTTTTTTTTTATTACCATTTTTTTGTTTAGTCAGTTCTCCAACGTAGCATTATGCTACTGCTATATATTTGATTCTTTGTAAAATAATTATATCTTTTTTAAATTTCAAGAAGTTTTTCCTAATAACGAAACACACAAAAACGGTATTTACTGTTCAAGTTCGATTAAATAAAAGAGTAAAATTTTTAAGCATGAGTCCAACATGGGTTATGTAAACACTTCCTGAAAGGTAATACAGGTGTTCGAATTTTCTAGAAAATTAAAAGGCGGGTGATTTGTTGAATTAACTTGCTAAACATTGGACATTTTGACTAGAAATTTAAGTGGAATATAGAAAACAAATGCGAGTGTTGGGAAAAGAAAGTGTGAGAATTAGAGAATTTGTGGGTACGTGATAAAGAAATAAAGAGAATTAGAGAATTTGTGGGTGTGAGAATAAGAACTAAAGAGAATTAGACAATTTGTGGGTGCGAAAACAAGAACTAAAATAGAATTAGTGAGTTTGTAGGTACATGCATAAGAACTAAAGAGAATTAGAGAACTTGTGGGCGCGTGATACAGAACTAAAGAGAATTAGAGAATTTGTGGGTGCGAGAATAAGAACTAAAAAGAAATAGACAATTTGTGTGTGTGAGAATAAGAACTAAAAAGAATTAGACAATTTGTGTGTGCGAGAATAAGAACTAAAGAGAATTAGATAGTTTGTGGGTGCGAGAATAAGAACTAAAATGGAATTAGAGAATTTGTAGGTACATGCATCAGAACTAAAAAGAGAGTGCGTAAATGGGGAATAAAACGAATAAAAGAGTGTGTGAGTTGTTGAAAGAGGAAGACAAAGAATTGGAGAGTGTGTGCTAATGTAACTGACATGCCTATAAAAGTACTAATATAATGTGTCTGGCTACAGGACATTACCCTCACCCCCCGGACATTCCCCCCCCCCCACCGTATTTACACCCCCCCCCCCAGCAATTACATTTTTGTCAATTACCCCCTTGTCATTTACCCCCCGGGTAATTACCTCCGCCCACCCTCTCAAGTTAGAATCCTAACTCTAATTAGAATTCTCTACCTATATACTACATTAATACTAACCTTAAGAAAACGACCTAAACCTAAGCATCTACCTTGGCCTAAAATACAAAACCAAAACTAACGCTAGACATTGGTTTAAGCCTAACCCTAACCTAACCCTAACCCTAACTCTATCCCTAGCCCTAACCCTAACCCTAACCCTAACCCTAACTCTATCCCTAGCCCTAACCCTAAACCTTGCCCTAACTCTAACTCTAACCCTGTCTCTGAGGGGAGGGGGTAATGTCCTACTGGGCGGGAGGGTAATTGACGGGGGGGGGGTTATTGACAGGGGGGGTAATTAATCCGGGGGGGGGAGGGAATGTCGGGGGGGATGTATAACTGTCATGTCTGCTGATGTAACCAGCTTGTGTGATGTTCATTTAATACCTTACTGCTGTTTGGGGCAGTGTTAGAGTTAAGTCTAGAGTAACGACTTGGATTAGAACTTATGTCATACCATAACAGGCGAGAATTTCGCTTAGAATCGCTCTTTGTTACGTTTTACTTATCAATCTTTCGATCAGTGCGCTTCTTTTTTACAAGCTTTTATTTAACTCACTTCCTCGTCAGTCGACAGTCTGTCTGTCTAGACGGAAACGCAGGAGTGAAAATTCGGACAGTTCTACTTGACCGATACGATTCACATTCGACACGTGGGTCAAGACATGAAGACAATGCAATCTGAAACTAAATTTGACTTAATTGGATGCCTAATTGATTTTTTATGAATTAATTAAAATTTGGACCGAATTAGTAGGCATGTCTAGCCAACCACACCACACGCGTCATCAATGGCTGCGCCATCACGACCACGTAATGGCTGCGTTCAAAAACCATTGCGCGCCTACTGAACGTGATATTCAGTAGGCGCGCAATGGTTTTTAGTCATGTAACTCTATTGTAGATAAAACATGTAAAGTACTGAAAAAAAAATTCATAAAAAACGTTTTAATAACAAGCTTTTATGTAATGATGCACTAAAAAGTAGAAAATAAATTATAGACTACTATTTAAATAACTATAAAGAAAAGCGTGGGTGTCTTCCTTAACATTAGTAAAGGTATCCAATAGATACTAAAGTGACCCACGCTTTTCTTTATAGTTATTTAAATAGTAGTCTATAATTTATTTTCTACTTTTTAGTGCATCATTACATAAAAGCTTGTTATTAAAACGTTTTTTATGAATTTTTTTTACAAGCTTTTATTTAACTCACTTCCTCTGTCTGTCTGTGTAGATAGAAACGCAGGAGTGAAAATTCGGACAGTTCTACTTGACCGATACGATTCACATTTGACACGTGGGTCAAGACATGAAGACAATGCAATCTGAAACTAAATTTGACTTAATTGGATGCCTAATTAATTTTTTATGAATTAATAAAAATTTGGACCGAATTAGTAGGCATGTCTAGCCAACCACACCACACGCGTAATCACCTTCAATAGCTGCGCCATCACGTAATGGCTGCGTTCAAAAACCATTGCGCGCCTACTGAACGTGATGTTCAGTAGGCGCGCAATGGTTTTTAGTCATGTAACTCTATTGTAAATAAAACATGTAAAGTACTGAAAAAAAAATTCATAAAAAACGTTTTAATAACAAGCTTTTATGTAATGATGCACTAAAAAGTAGAAAATAAATTATAGACTACTATTTAAATAACTATAAAGAAAAGCGTGGGTGTCTTCCTTAACATTAGTAAAGGTATCCAATAGATACTAAAGTGACCCACGCTTTTCTTTATAGTTATTTAAATAGTAGTCTATAATTTATTTTCTACTTTTTAGTGCATCATTACATAAAAGCTTGTTATTAAAACGTTTTTTATGAATTTTTTTTAACTTGGCGGCGAATGAAAATACGCTCAATTGACATGTAGAAAATTATAATACGCTGAATTTTTTCTGTTTACTTTTTACTTTCTCGTATATACGAAGTATAGAGAAAGTATTGTAATCGTGCAAAAAAATCTCTTGAAATTTTAACAATTTTCACCGTATTACACCTCAGTCCTTCATCACATCCGAAGTATAGAGGACTTATTTTAATCGGGCAAAAATTATCAATCCAGATTTATCAAAATTAAGAGGTTTTATGCGTAATCCAGTCTGAAAAACTGGGCTTTGCAATTCTGTCCGTATGTCTGTGTGTGTGTGTGTCTGTCTGTCTGTCTGTCCGTGTGTAAACACGATAACTTGAGTACCGTTACAGCTAGGTTGATGAAATTTCATATATAAGTATTTTATCAAAATCGTAGATCCGTATCAACTTTTGAGCGATTTCCGATAACCGGAAGTGGTACTTTTTCTACTTTGAATTTTTCAAAAGCCTATAGCTTGAGTACTATTTCAGATAGATAAATAAAATTTCACATGTGAGTAAAAGATCTAATTTTCTACCTTCTGTCAAATTTTGAGTAATTTCCGATGACCGGAAGTAGTAATTTACGCTACTTCCGATTTCTCAAAAAACTAATGTAAATTTTTAAAGTACTAATAATATTGCGCACTATTATGCACTTTTTTATTTAGCGTTCACTTGGAGTGCAACTCTTTTGTCTACGAGACTTTATTCTATTTTTAAAACTTTAAGTATTTAAAATGGATTAAAAATCATGTCTATAGCCCGAGTTCCCATCCCCTGTTGTTTTATATAAGAATATTCGAGAAAGTTTAGGGGAGATCACTCCCGGTTTTTTTTTTTAGTTTTCTTGTAAATCTCAATTTCATTTTACAAAAAAAAAAAATTCACCACAGTCTAATTTTTTGAAAGTTCGCGTTTTTCTAAGAAAAAAGTTCGCGTTTTTGTAAGCAAACAGTCCTCGCCCAGACCAAACCAAAGTTTGAGCCAATCGCAATGTTACACACACTACAACTCTGGATCTCTGCAAATAACTGTGGCTATAAAAGGGGAAAGTTTGGCACCAACTGCAGCCGTTCTCCAGCAGCTCTCACAGCTTACTGCCTACAGCTACAGCTACAGTTGCCGAACAGTTGCCGAACAGTTGCCTACGTTCGATACAGCCAAGGTAAAAATTCCAAAACAGAAATTAGAGACCGCGTAATTTGAATTGTGGTTCTTGTTGTAAATTATTTATTTTTCAGATAATTTTTTTTAAAACCTTCATTAGTTTTTAAATTAATTAACCTACATTCTCACGCAATGCACGTAAGTCAAGCAGCCGCAACACAATTCTAAATCGAACACTATCTAACACAGAGGCGCAGGTGGTAGAAAAAAGACATTTATTTTCGCAACAAATTTTATGTATTTATTTCTACCTAATATTGTTCACATTTCAATTCTAGATTTTTTAAATAGATAACGTGTGATTTGATCCAGGACCTGTTATAATTATTTGCACTTTACTTCCAACAACGCGTTTGCTCTTATAAAATTTACGTCTAGAAAAAAAATGTTAATTTTTATCAAAACATGTAGAAGTGGGCATACTCAGTAGTTGAGATTTTTTTTCTCGACATGTATAGTATACAAGTCGCAAGTGTAAACGCGGTGTGACTATTGATTAAAACTTGAGTTCATCAACCAACGTGTTCACATATGTTTGTGTTTTCAAATGACAGCTCTCGAGTATCGGCAAGATGACGTCAGTGACACTCGTGTGTGCAGGACTACTTGTCTTTGTCCTCGGTGTCAGTGGTATGTGCATTGTTGTCTGGTGTATGTGACATACATGTATGCACATATAAAAACATATTAAAGATAAGTCGCTCGTACACACTTATATACTATGGAACACATAGTCCCAACTACACAAACATACACAGAAATTCACTCATATATATATATACATATATATATATATATATATATATATATATATATATATATATATATATATATATATATATATATATATATATATATATATTTCTTCAAGCACAAAGCTACACCCTGGAGATGACAGTGTTTGTTGAGAATGGCCTAACCCTCAAGTAAGATCATTAGTTACGAATGCTTTGATTGTTTAAATATATTTCTGTATAGGCCGATTGCAACTTTTCAGCTAGTCATGTCAGTTCAATAATGACTTTAATAAACAAAAATAGCTCTGCAAAAATCACATAGAATGTTTTGGCGAGCTCTTTTAAGAAGGTGTAAATGTGTACGTTAGTGTTAGAATACAAGAGTTATGTTACTGCAAATTTTTCTCTCTGCCAGCGAGATGTCCAAAACTCCGTCAACCACATACGGCAACTTGAGACAACAGGCACAAGACAGTTTGGTCAAGGACATTCTTTACATGGGTTCAGAGGTCAGGTTCAGTACTGTTATGTATATGTGTATTACCAGCCCGCACTTGTCATAAACATGGGGCCGAATGGTAGAGAGCTCGACTGTTAAACCAAAAGTCTCGAGTTCGGTTCCGGGTCCAAGTCGCTCTGATAGTACCTAACATAATAATGGAAATAAAGAATGATGGGTATAGCGCTGACCACACCACCCTTTCATAAGCTGAGGTCAAGAAACATATACACTTCTTTATCTGCCCAATGGATCGCTAAGTCTAAAGAGAAATCTTTACTCTTTTTCTTTACTTTTCAGTAACCCAACACCCTAAATTTACTCATTACTGTTTATTTTAAAGAAACATTAAGGTGATTTATAAACATTAGCTCAGTAGCCAGCTCTAACTATAGAGTGATAGCATTAGGTTGGAGGAAGTGCTAGCAACTCCTCGCCTTAAAATAATCAAATCGCTACAAAAATACAAACACTGAGTTATACAGACAACTCAGTCGTAAGAAACATTAGATCACAATTGAGAAAATTTAAAAAGCTAAGATGTATAACCATTTTTGTTATCTTCTATCCCAGAGTTCAATTGCCTGGGATGTTCTTTGTGTTACTATGATGACATGCTAAATATAACTAAAATCTATGAAGAGTTAATTTTTTTTACTTTGCATTGATCCCCAGGTCAACAAGGCCTTGGCCACCATGAGCCAATACGGTCTCAACATTGATCTCCGCCTAAAACAAGTGGTTTTTCTGGTAACTTTCGTTTTCTTACTGTAGGTCTACTACACGGGAAATAGATAATAGTACACAGCGCATACATTTGGAAATAATCCACAAGTTGACGACTTAATTAAAGGAAATCCCCTACTTGAAAATGTTTAAGTTGGTTTCAAAAAATATATTATCAGTCACATTACAAAACATTCATGTATTTAAATTAAAATTTCTGATTATATTTAGATATAGACGATTTATTAAATTTAACTAAAGACATATTTTTTTTTAAATTTAACATTTTTTATGAAAATAAATACACTGAGTATAGCATGCTAGAAAAAGAAATGTTTGAATAGATAGTATAGATATTTCAAAAACACCTACAGACAATAAATTTAAACCATTTGGGTTACGTCTAACATATGTTTTAATGACGTCATCGTTATGTGACAGAACATCGATGTTATGACCACATACATGGACGGAACCACCAACGTCATCGACAGCGCCCTGGGCAAGCTTTTGTTCCAGAATTTTCTGACACAGCAAAACGCCTACGCTACCTACGGCTACGACTACGCCCTGCTCTTGACCAAGTAATTATCAGTTTCTTTATTCAACAGTTGGTTTGTATTGTAATAGAACATAAATAGTATTTAAAAGTAAACAATAATGTATATGATATTTTATACATGAATCTGATATGCGTTAAAATCGAGGCTGATATGAACTATTGAAATCAAGCAGAAAAAAACGACTTTTGAAAAATTGATATACTTTATAAGCACGTGTATGGGAAAATAAAGGCAGCTGGGCATAGTGCTATCCCTACATATGCCGAAGTCGCTGAAATAGGTGAACTCTACTCCACCTGTCCAAAGACCGCACGTTTCGAAAGTGTACTTTACTTGTTTAAGTTATCGCATTGCTTTATGATCTATCGTGATCCTCAGAAAAACAAAAATAATGGAAAAATTTGTGATTAAGAAAAGAAACAAAACTGGAATCATATTATATGTATATATATATATATATATATATATATATATATATATATATATATATATATATATATATATATATATATATATATATATATATTACAAATATTAATTTAAAACTACTAAATTTAATTAATATAAATCAAAATCAAAGAGACATATATCATGTTATTTTTTTTAAACATGTAGCTAAATTATATTAAGTGAGTGAATAATATTAAAGTGTTATTCAAACAAATGTATCACCACAATGAAGTTTAAAATGAATGTAACTCATGTTTCTAACTTACGTGTACCCAGATCAAATCTGTACGGCACTGGTGGTCTGCTAGAGTCAAGTAAGTCACTGTCTCAGTTTGTCTCGTGTCTGGTCTAGTGTGGTACATAACTACAGGGTTACTTTATCTTTAGATTTACAATAGGGGTCGGCGTTTTCGAGTCGGTAAAGCTCATGGTTGCTAAACCGAAAAATCTCGTTAGTTGGGGACAGCCACTCTTCTAGGAGAGACAACTCCAAAATCAAACAACTGCTGCCTTGTAGTTTGTTCTTGGTTGGACAAAGGCTATGGAAGCTAATCCAAAAAGAAAAGCATGCTGAAATCGGAGTCAATGGCCTCAAATGCGCATAACCAGTTGACACGTATCCTACATTGTGTTGGAGGCGTGGTTGAGTCGGCATAAGCTAAATTCGAGTTCAAACCCTCTGGCAGATAAGGCTCGATCGCTTCCAACACTAAAAATTAAGAACAAAGAAGAAGAACAATAGCCAGTCTTGGATAATGAGCTTCCTTCCCTCCCTAGCTAGGCTCTTTGTCTTTATATATCACAAGCTCACCCTATCGATATACGTATATATATATATATATATATATATATATATATATATATATATATATATATATATATATATATATATATATGTGTGTGTGTGTGTATATATATATATATATATGTATACCAATAGCTTATCAGTATTAATACACCTGCAGGCAACACAAACGTTGGAGCTGTGTGTAATAACAAGTCGTCTTTGACCGTGGCGGAGTTCACCGGAACTTACAGTGACGTCATCACGCTTAGCCACGCCATCGGTTTCCTGTACGTTAGCTGTATCCGCTTGTTTGACTATTTCTAACTTCTTGTTCGTCCGCTTACAACAACCATAAAAGATCATAACTATTGCTTAGCTATATATTTAAACCTGATGGAAATGACATCTAAGAATTAGTTATATATTATAATCTATATCAACTATCTATAATTGTTTTTTTTCTATCAATCATATAAAAAAGTTAGTATTTCTTATCAACTTTCTCTGTTGATCATGCTGTTTATCAACAACTTATAAGGAAGTTTGTTATTCTATAAGCATTGTGTAATGATTCAGTGTGTTGCGTATGAATAACATGATTATTGTGTTGTGTATCAATCGCCCAAAACGTTCTTTGTATTTATATAATCATGACTGAATAATTACTGCAGGTTGGGTGCCAACAACGACGACCCTAGCTCCACCTATATCATGTCACCAACAAACTTCCCCACCCAGGCCAACCGTTGGAGCTTCTCCAGTCTCTCAGCTGGTTACATCAAGCTGTTTGTGGGTCAACTTAGGTAGGTCACGTCAATCATAGTGTATTAATTAGGTCAACTCAGGCGTGTCAGTTCAATCATAGAGGAAATTTAATGAGTCAACTTAGGTCAATCATAGAGCAAATTTAAGGGGTCAACTTAGGTCAATCATATAGCACATTCAATTGGTCAAACTAGGTCAAGTGAATCAACTAAAGCCACGTTAGTCATACAGTACATTCGTATGGTCAACTTTGGTCGCGACAATGATAGGTAAGTCTCCACAATTATATAGCATATTTATCGGGTCAGATTAGGTGGGTCACGTCAATTATAGAGCAAAGGGTCAACTTCAGTTTCATCAGTCCTATAGTACATTTATTGGGTCAACTCAGGTAGGTCATCTCTAACACAAAGCATATTTATGTTTTCAGTACCTAGAAAAGATCAGGTAGATAGGGTCAATCATATAGCACATATATGTGTATAGTACCTACGTCAGTTCAAATAATTAACGCCAGTCATAAAGCACTTGTATGTATTTAGTAACTAGGTAAGATCAAGTGGGTAACGTCAATCATACAGTATGTGTAATGTACCTGGGAAAGCTTGTTATGTAAATCATATAGCACATGTATGCCTGCAGTATTTGGGTTAGATACAGTGTTTATTCCAGACTGTTTTCTCCAGGGGGCAATGATATTTTCGGGGGGGGGGGGGGGCGGCGGACGGAGCGGACACAGGTAAAAGTATATGTTTTCTATATAAATTCCAATAAATTCCATTTCGCCGGGTGGGGGGGGGGGGATGATGGGGCGGTAGACTTTCTTCGGGGGGGGGGGGGGAGGCAATAACGAAATAGTAATAAAAACATACTAGTGCTAAATAATAGGATTTAACAGACCATAGCATTGTGTTACCTGTGATAGTAAATGTATCTTAGTGCTGCTTAAAAATGATAATTTAGAATACATAACAAACTTAAAAAAATCTACATTGCATAATTAACTGAAATATGCTTCGTTTACACACATTTTAGCAAGAGAGGTAGAAATATAGACAAGGGATGTCACCGCTTTAAAGTAAACTGAAGTTAATTATTTTAGTTACTTCCCTTTACAGAACCAACTGCCTGTTGACTACTAGCTACACATCAACGAAACCCAGCGTATCCTACGGCAGCTATAACGGGAGTATCCTTGACCCTGACGTCATGTGCCAGAGAAGTCTGCTGACATCCAACACCTACATGTGCAAGGTAAACAAAAGTTATTGTATGAGAAGTTAACAAGGAACAATTTTTTTTTAGGTTTAATACAGGAAATATAAGTTAACACAGGATAATTTGTGTTGATGTTTAATACAGGACATAAGTTAAGCAATGGTAAAATCCATGTTCTGTACATTATATGAAGTTAAATGTCATAGAACATGTGTGTCACGCTTTAACTTCAAAAGTACAAACAATTTTTAGGTTGTGTGTTTGCGTGTATGTGTGTTAGTGTGTGTGCGTGCGCGTGCGTGTGTGAGTATGTGTGTAATTTTCAAGATTAATATTAAAACTGATATTATTATTAACATAAATTAAAATCACTTGTCTCTATATTATTGCAAAAAAAAAAGAAATCTCATCACATTTTGTGAAAACTTAATTGCACCAACAAAACATCTACTCATAATTTGTGAAACCTTGTTTCAATCAACTTCTTCTTCTTCTTCGTTCTTAATTGAGAATATGGTGGAGGATTTAGATAACAAGTCCAACTTCTTGAATAAACCGGACTGTGGTCTCCAGTTCGGCAGGTGCCCCTGAGTGGGGTGAGCAGGGGCCAGTGTCTAACTCGCGCCTGGCTATATAAAGAACATTCCTCAAGGACGTGCTCCGTATTTTCCGTGGCCTTGCCACAAGGGCCTTTAATCAACAATAAATGTAAACCTACACCCCAATAACATGATTCAATCAACAAAACATGTAAACCTATATCACGATAACATGATTCAATCAACACTACATCAAAACCTACACAGAGCATACCTGATGTCTACCTGGGCCCACCAAAAGGTGACGCCGTCTGCTCACAGATCTACTGCCGTGTTCCCAGCACCATGACGTGCTCCGGCATTTTCCCGTCTGATGGCATGCCCTGCGACACCAGAAAGGTTAGGTCGTTTGTTAGATGATGTCATGTCACAACTTAGTTTAGGTCTTATGTTAAAGGTAAGGTCTTTTGTTAGATAAAATCATACCAAAAAGATTAGGATTTAGGCTAGATGACATCATGTCATGTAAAAAAGTTTAGGGCTTAAGTTAGTTGAAGTTGATGACATTATGTCATACCATAATGTTTAGGGTTTAGACTACCCGATGGAAACGTCATACTAGAAAGGTTAAGGTTTAAGTTAGATATGGTCTTATGACAATGAAAGATGTATGGTAAATTATGTAAGCAAATACCGACTCATGAATACATGTAATGTTACTAACCACATACATTATTTAAATCGTAAAGATTCCTCTTTACACCTAGCGGTCCATTGTTCTGATGAAGTAGAGATAAATATTTCTTGACCTCGGCATATGAATGGGTGGTGTGGTCAGCAATATACCCAGGTGCCTTAACTTTCCCTACCATAAAGCAGGCACCCATCAGAGCCGGGTGAACTGAAGACGTTCTACAGTCTAAACCCAGATCCGAGCTCGACACCATGGGGCTAGTAGCCTAGCGCTTTACCATTAGACCACACCGTTTCCATTTCAATTGTACATGGACTCACATTATAGAAAAGTTTTTATGTGGGGAGAAATTAGGAAATAAAAAACAGCATATATATATATATATATATATATATATATATATATATATATATATATATATATATATATATATATATATATATATATATATATATATATATATATATATATATATATATAAGCAAAAAGCAATGTCCACCTCAATGATTACGTGAGAGTGAAAAGGTTTTTATGTTTAGTGTAAACTTGAAACCATTTTTTTCTACAGAGATGTGTCTCTGGGCGATGCCAGCCCGACTACTCGGCAGCGACACAGTACCTTGACTGTGAGTGAATATGTCCCACACTTTGTTTTACAATACATTACCTTAAAAAAATTGTCAAGTTCCTTATCGAACCTAACAACCCATGGGGCGTACACCGGTTTCGGGGGTCTCGGCATATAAAGGAATAGTGTGGTTAACTTTCTACCAGTGTCTTTTCTTTCCAAACGTGAGTCAGGTACCCATCACAGCTGTGTTGAATGAGATACGACTCGAGTACATGATACTTACTTGTGACTTTCGGGTTAGCAGTCGTAAGCTCCACCATTCGACAACACCTATATGTGTTCACTGCTCGTTGTTATGTATATCAATACCTATAGCTGAAATCAAATGCATGTTTTTATGCTTGGGCAATTTTAAATATATATTTGAGCAACGAAATAATTAAAAAGCCGGCTAGAGGCACATTTGTAAGCAGTACAAGAATAGTGACTTTATTAGACGCAACGAGTAATCTAAATCTATACTCTCTACCAAAAATTAGCAGCTCAATTCTTTTAGAGCAACGATCACATGTATTTTGTTTCTGCTCAATCATAAATTTAACTTCTCCTAAATCTCCCATCTATCTCTAGCCCACCACACTTCTACTAAACATGCCATCACATTTGTCCTACGACATTTCTCCTAAATCCCCCATCACATTTATCCTACCCAAACGCTTATCCTAAATGTGCTATCACATTTTCCCTACCACATTTCTCCTAAAATTTCTATCCCATTTACCCTACCCCACCACACTTCTCTTAAACCTCCCCTCACACATCTCCTACCCCACCACCAGCCAACTGTGTATGGGGCAACCAGAAATCCCTGGAGCTTCCCTCCATCTCCTTCGTTGGGAACTGTGCCACCTTCTTGAGCCTGTACAAGCCGCTACAGTGTTACACACGCATCATCCAGGAGTCCTGTTGTGCTAGCTGCAAGTCTTACTACACGGCCAGAGCTGGTACGTCATGGCAAATCTATTCTTAATATATATATATATATATATATATATATATATATATATATATATATATATATATATATATATATATATATATATATACATATATATATATTTATTTATATATATTATATACATATACTTATATATATATATATATATATATATATATATATATATATATATATATATATATATATATATATATATATGTATGTATATATAAATAAATACATATATATATATGTGTACGTGTCTGTGTGTGAAGTTAGGTGTGTGTCTGTAGATGTGTGTGTGTATTTCATAACTTTAAAAATTGAGTAAGATATGTTGGCAATTTGCCGATAGAGCATTAGAGGAAACAGTAAAGAACAGCAAACATAGCTGAAAAACTGGTTCAGTTTTAGGGAAAATAGTTGTCTATAAATGCAAAAACGGTATTTTAACAGTTATCATATAGGCCTATACTAACCATTCATTTAATACTAGACTTTCATAAAAATACTTTTTGTTTTTTTTAAATTGCAATTTCCAGAGTTTCTTCCAGATGTCTTTTTTTTGGGGGGGGGATGAGGGGGGGGGGGGGTAATTACACTGGTAATTTCTAATATTTAAGTATTTTGGGAAAAAAAATGGTTCAAAACAAACCAACATTTCTTTACATCTTGTGAAGGTTGTGAATACGGTGACCGATCGGTGGATTGCGTCAAATACACCAGAGAACAGGTCTGTCCTACATACAAGGACTCACTGTGCTGCGGATACTGCGCGTAAGTCTTGTTAGGTCTTGTTAGACAGCAGTAACCTGCACTCATTTTTTTTTAATAAAACAGAAATGTGCACTCATTGTATACTTACTTTTACTTAATCCTTATCACTCCCTGTGGAGTATAGGGCAGCAACAAATCTCCGCCATTTCACCCTGTCCTGGGCGAGCCACTTTAGTTCATGCCAGGTTTTGCCAGTAGCCTGTACTTCTTCTTCCATCTCCCTCCTCCATGTTCCCAGTGGTCTTCCTCTATTTCTCTTTCCGGGTGGGTTCCACGTCAGCGCCATGTTGGGGAGTCTTTTTTTGCTCATGCATAGGACATGGCCCAGCCATCTCCATCTCCTCGTTCGAACTTCTGAGACAATGTCGTTTAATCCTGTCCTTCGCCATATTTCCTTGTTCGGGACTTTGTCGTCCCACTTTATCCTGAGGATGCGTTGGAGGGATCTTCTTTCAAAGCCTCTGAGTCGGCTCTCTCCTTTCTTGTTTAGTTTCCATGACTCTGCAGCATAGAGGAGTACAGAACGTACATTTGACTTATAGATCCTTATTTTAGTTCTCTGCTGCATTGAGGATGATTTCCAGATCTTAGCGAGTCTGTTGAAAGCTTGTGCTGCCATTGCTATTCTGGTGGCAATTTCTTTCTCCATGCTGCCATTTGCTGATATATAGCTGCCGAGGTACTTAAAGTCTTCGACCTCTTCTAGCTCTACTCCATTCGCAAAGGTCTTGAGAGCACTTTTGGTTTTTATTTTCATTAGCTTGGTTTTTCCGGAGTTTAGCACTCATTGAATAGGACAACATAAATATGCACTCAGATTTTATAAGACAACACAAATATGCACTCAGATTTTATAAGACAACATAAATATGCACTCAGATTTTATAAGACAACACAAATATGCACTCAGATTTTATAAGACAACACAAATATGCACTCAGATTTTATAAGACAACACAAATATGCACTCAGATTTTATACGACAACACAAATATGCACTCAGATTTTATAAGACAACACAAATATGCACTCAGATTTTATAAGACAACACAAATATGCACTCAGATTTTATAAGACAACACAAATATGCACTCAGATTTTATAAGACAACACAAATATGCACTCAGATTTTATAAGACAACACAAATATGCACTCAGATTTTATAAGACAACACAAAATATACAATCAGATATTATTCGACAACAGAAATATGTATTTAGCTTTTATAAGTTTTTAAGATAATAAAGTTTTGTTATTGTCTTATAAACAAATTAGACATGTCTAATTAAATGTTCTTCTTACTTACGAATAGAGATGACCGATACGAGAATACAAAACATTTTCTTTTTAGACCTTAGAAGAGAGAAATAACAATTTCTCCTTATTGGTATTTCAAGAAAATCAAGACATTTCTTTACGAATATTTATAGAAACGCATCTACTCTTAGGTTTTATAAAACAACATACAAGCATTTCTTCTTTTTATTAGTATTGCGCCTGGGAAGAAAGGGCTGCAATCACACTTCTTCTTTATAGTCACCTGTTTAAATTTTATCAGCCCCTGCCTCTTCTTGTACTGTCTTCTACAGAAATTCCTGGGGCGTCCTACTTACCTATTTGCCTGGGGATTCCAGTCTAGCGCTTTCTTCGCGATTTTATCATCTTCCCTTTTCAGGATATGCCCATTCTATCCCAATTCGCTGGCTTTAATATCCCTGTCTATTGGCTTTTGTGTTTTGCCAATACATGTATTTAACACATTGCAAATGGTCTTTTCTCTTAATCTTTAAAGAAAAGAAAATATTTTCCTAACTCTTAAAAAGACTTTTCTACATATTTTCTTTAGTGTTTCAAAATTTAAGTTTTGTCACATTAACTCACAATGAGCAATCGAGAAGTTAACACACTGTCAGTCTTTTATAAAATTGAAATTCTTTGTCAAGCTTTTTGAAATACAATTATTTTAATTTATTCCATTTATTTAATTTATTCAATTTATTCAATTTATTCTATTCAATTTATTCAATGTATTCAATGTATTCAATTTATTCAACTTATTCAAATTATTCAATTTATTCAATTTATTCAATTTATTTCAATTTATTCAATTTATTCAATTTATTCAATTTATTCAACTTATTCAACTTATTCAACTTATTCAACTTATTCAACTTATTCAACTTATTCAACTTAATCAACTTATTCAACTCATTCAACTTATTCAATTTATTCAATTTATTCAATTTATTCAATTTATTCAATTTATTCAATTTATTCAATTTATTCAATTTTTTTAATTTATTCAATTTATTCAATTTATTCAATTTATTCAATTTATTCAATTTATTCAATTTATTCAATTTATTCAACTTATTCAACTTATTCAACTTATTCAATTTATTCAATTTATTCAATTTATTCAATTTATTCAATTTATTCAACTTATTCAACTTATTCAACTTATTCAATTTATTCAATTTATTCAATTTATTCAATGTATTCAATGTATTCAATTTATTCAATTTATTCAATTTATTCAATTTATTCAATTTATTCAATTTATTCAATTTATTCAATTTATAACAGTAACAATAGTAGGCACATAATTGTTAGTTGATGGTAAGTGAATACAAACTTAAAAGCAATTCAGTGTGTAAATTCAATTGATTCTTAAAGTCTACCAATAGAACATTTCTTTAAAAATTTAATTGTAGATATTAAAATTATGTTCAATAAATTCTTATAGTGGATACGTTGGCAAGCGGTCAGTGGACGGACCAGTGATCGCCCCCACCCTCAACATGACCGTGCCTCTAGGGGAGAAGATCCACATCAAGGCTGAGGAATACGAGGATAAACTCGGCCGTACACATTGAGCATCGCAGCTGGGACATACTGATCCAACTCTTGAACGTTTTGTAGTGTAATACTGCACTCTGTCGATTTAGATTTTTTTCATGTAACAAGCTTAATTATATGCTTTCTGTAGTATCCATAGGTACGTTACTGCTTACAAACAGATCAAATAAAATAGTTGTTTGATATATCCATATAGTAATTCTATACAAATGTGCATGTACATATCTTAAATAAAATCTTTTAAACCTAAAACTATTTGTTCTTCAATGTCAAACCCACTACTGATCAGAGGCGTAGCGACCCTTCCCGGCGCATGTGGACAAACATTTCGATTACCACCCACGTCAAGATTTTGATTTGCACCCCCTATCAAACTTTCAATTTATTTTTTTAAAACCCATTTTGGCGTCCCTTAAGGTCAACGCCCGGGGACATATGTCCCCCCCCCCCCTCGCTACGCTACTGCTACTGGTCGAAGTAAAACACAATAATCGTTAGTCCAAATGTGTTTGAATCTAATCAGTGTTTTACATAGAAAGTGGTTCAATAAAGTTTTCTATAATATAACTGTTTTAAGACGTTTTTTCCTTTACTATTAAACATTTATGGAAAAATATACCCATGTGTTACCAAAAGGTATACTAGCATGTGTATCAGAGTTATTTTTAAAAAGGTAATAAATTATGCAATTAAAATTAATTTACAATATATGACATATAGCTACAAAGTAAGTCATGCTAAATATAAATTTATTAGCCGCGAATTGGTTTACGGTGTAAGGCAGTCTACTTATATAGGGTCACAATCTGAACAACCAAAATAAAAACAGTATAACATTAAGTATAAATTTTCTGTATAAATTATATATACTTTTTAGCGCAATTTCCATACTGGACAATTGCGATTATTAACTCGTCATTTCTGGATGGATGAATGAATGGATGTGTGTCCGCAGCTTTAAGTCGTATCTCCTCCTCAACGAAGCAATATCGAGGACTAGTTCCAAAGCAAATATGTTAAGCAAGTTCCGAGGATGATAGTGGGTCAAAATATTCCCGGAATTCCTTCCTGGATTTCCCGGAAAAGCCAAAAAACTCGAAAAAAATGCAGTTTTTAGCCCATATCTCGGCAACCAGACCACTTAGCGACTTGAAACATTTACCAATCGATTCCTGTGATAATTTAGAACAATATTGCCGAAAAAGGTTTTCAAACATATCCTTTCGTTCGGTCACAAAAAAATATTTACTACTTTTTTAAACTGAGCATCGTGTAGGCCTAAGATGATACTACTTTTTTAAACTGAGCATCGTGTAGGCCTAGGATAATATTTTAAACTGAGCATCGTGTGGGCCTACTCGTTAAAATAAAACTATTTCCGTTGATATAGGTTAATATAGTTGTCTTTTTTTTTGCGCAAAAAAATATCCTTTTGTTCGGTCACAAAAAATTAAAAATTGTTATGGATAACATAAGGAAATTGCGCTTAAATTGTCACTAGACTTTTTATTAACTTGTTTTAAGTTCGTCCAGTGGGTTAAGGGGGGGGGGGCAGTGCTCTGCCCACACGGTTTGTTTACCCCCAGCTTTGTAAACAGCGATATATGATTCATAGTTGAGATTTTTTCGGAGGCAAAATTTTAAAGTTTCGTATATGTAAGATTTGTTCATGATGTTTAAAATGTCAAAAAAAAAATTGTTTTTTTAATGCAGAAAAATGAATAGTATATCTTCAACACCAAGTAGGGGCGAAAATAATTGCAATTTTGAAGAATGGCGGAAAAAAAAATTAAAAACATATTTTAAAAAAAGAAAATGTTATTAAGAATAACGAAAGCAAATTACTCTATTGAAGTTTATAGACATCTTTTATTTCATTACGTCAAAAGAGAAACGAAGTCGTTTCTCAGATCGGTCTTATTTTCATCTCGGTGAAAGTTGCCGAATTATATTGACCTGAGGTCGGTTCCCAGGTGACACCTCTGCCGTACGCAATGTTTCCCCACTCCCCGTTTAGATTGGCGCTATGACATTCGTGGTACCACCAGGCACCGCGGTACTTCATGGCGCAGTTTAGATTGCGGGCTCTGTCGTTGTCTCTGCAGTTATCGTGGTGTACCAAGGCGTCTCCTGCATCCCCTGAATACCCGGTAACTTTTATCGTATAATTTTCAATCTCACTACCCACACTAAAGCTTGAATATTGAGCGTAGTAGTCCTTATTCTTATATTTTAAATCAACCCTCAGCTCGTGTTTCGCTAAGGACGTCAGACGATAGATGTTTTCATTGCCCAGCCAAAATTCTCCGCCGTTAACTTCACCAAAGCCATTTTTGTACTCATCCCACCCCCGATAGAAATCAGTCGATCCGTTGAATCTTCTCTGTATCACCGTCCATCCTCCGCCGTCTGTCTGTGTGTCGCACATCACATCCAATCCACCAGACAGAGTGACCACTGGTCTGGGCATGGCGCAGGCCTTAGATGTCAGTACTTCATCAATACTAGAACGCTTTGATCTATTGTTGTTGGAATCTGCTATAGACAGAAAGTTATATTATAATAATAATTCAATGAAATACAAGCAAAAATGTAAAATAAAAATTGATTGCACTCTAAAAAAAATACGTGTATTGTTAGCTGTCAAAAAAACTTGAAAATTTCTTCGAGTTATTATTTGACCAGACAAAATGATTGAGTTCACGTGTCCTTAACCAGAGGACAGCCCACATTCTTGTGTAAAGAGTCTATAGGACTAGACCACGGGTGTCTAACTAATATATGCGAGGATAAACAGTTCTTGGAGGCCTGGAAAATCGCAACTAGAGAAGCGATGCCTGGAAGAAACTCTGGTCCGTACACCCACATCAACAAGTGTAGATGATGCCGTAGACGAGAGAAGATGTAAAATATTTGTTGAGGCTCAAATTTAAATATATATATATATATATATATATATATATATATATATATATATATATATATATATATATATATATATATATATATATTTTTTTTTTTTTTTTTTTAACTAACCTCTAGAATCTTGTGCAGTGATGTACGTAGTCAACCAGACAAGGCACACAACCAAGACAAATGGCGTGAACATTTTAGACCAGAATAGACTGCTCGCTGAGTAAGTAATGGCTGACTCAAGTCAAACTGAACAAACCAGCAACAACGAAAATGTCTTCTATGCTCACTGAGTAAGCAGAGGCGTCGCGAGGCGAGGGCGGAGGGGTTCGGACCTTACCGAGTAACACCAATTCGGTGGGGGGGGGGGGGGACCAACAAGACAAAAAATTGCAAAATATATACATGAAAAACGATTTTGTCAGTTCAATTAATGACTAAATGAAAATCAGATAGACCATATCACAGTTACTAGAAAGTTAGGAAGTCTTTAAGCCGTGAGAGTATAACAAAGGGAAGACATAGTTTCATATCACCAGATCCTGGTTTCCAAGCTCACAATCAAACTGACACCATTTCAGTAGCATAGCGAGGGGGGGCGTGTGGGGGGGACATATGTCCCCGGGCGCCGACCTTAGGGGCGCCAAAATGGGTTGGAAAAATAAATTGAAAGGTTAAAAGGGGGGGGTGCAAATCGAAAGTTTGAGGGGGATGGTGCAAATCGAAATCTTGAGGGAGGGGGGGGGGGGTGCAAATCGAAAGTTTGTCCCCGGGCGACGGGAAGGGTCGCTACGCCTCTGCACCATTCAAAAACATCTCAACCTGATCACATCACATCATAAATTAAAGATTGACTACATAAAGAGCTAAGAGAAACATGAATCCTTCTTTTCTACTTCATCTTCTTCTTCGTTTATAATTGTAATGTTGGACGGGATATCCTCCAACACAATGAAGTACTACGTTAGGCTACTGTCCCTAGTCATCGAGCTTCATTAAATAAATCGTACAACTTTGAATTTAAATTGTATTTCCAAGCTCTCTCCGGTTTGATTTATAGAATGTGTTGAAGACTATAGACTAAAGCACCAACAAATATGGAAATCAGCTGGTACCTACGTTATCGAGAAGAGAAACATGGAACTCAAAAGGGGATGGCACTAACTGAGATTAAAATGGAAGGGATGGCACTAACGGAGATTGAAATGGAAGTAAGAAGATGATAATTCTCGCTACAAGGTAACTTGAAAAGGATGCAACAACGTAGATTGAAATGGAAGCAAGAAGATTAAAAGTCTCGCTTCAAGGAAACTTAAAAAGGATGCAACAACGTAGATTGTAATAGAAGCAAAATTATTAAAAGTCTCCCTACAAGGAAACTTAAAAATGGCATGAATGTCAGGCAAGAGTAGGACCTACCAGCCCCCAGTACGGCTGTGGGACGCAAACGGCCAAACAATAACGGCAGAAGAGCGAGGCTGCTGTGTCAAACATTTCGAGGAGATGTTGGATAAATCCTCCTAACCCTCTATTCCTGACATCCCACCTGCAGCACAACTTTAACATCTGACACCAATGTCCCCAGCTTTTGCGCAAGTCATCAAGGCTATAAAGAAAATTAAGAATGGTTCACAGGTCAGAATAGACGAATCCAAAGAGGTACTGAAGATAGATCTATCTGCGACACTACTGCTTCTACTCTTGCATAAAATATGGGCGCAAAAACAACTGCCTGCAGATTGTTAACTTGGATACTTGGTTTAAAAACAATAATTTTAAAGTCTTACTTTTCTCAATGAAACAATATCATAAGAATCGGTCCTACCCCGTTCATGTTATTTAAAATAATTATTATGGGAGGTAACTTTAAACAACCTTTTAAAAATTTATCAAAGTGTGCTTTGCGGTTTTATTTCAATCGCATTATACATAATTTGAAGCATTTATTATTGTCTAATTTATCTGTTGTTTTTTATAAATAAATAATAGCGTTTTGATCGATTCAAACAGAATCTATGCGTAATATTTACAATATCAAACCTTTACAATACTGGCAATATATTTGCTATATAAAATTTCTAATTTTCATTTTACAACATTTTTGAGTACAGCAACGTAATACTTCTCTCTTTACTTTAAATACGCTTTCTGATCTAGTGAACTTATTAAAATGGCTAGTGTAGGGGTCGGCAAACTTCGGCAATCGAGCTCCATGTACAAATAATTATATTATTATTTCATTTTCATAACTCACATGAAATATACTTTAAAGAAAAACAACTTTAACAAACAGGATAAAAGACTCGTAAAGAAAAAAAAAGTTATTGGCTTTTAAAGTGGATCGGGGTAATCCTATAGTTATATTATTTGATTGCTAATTTTTATCATAGCAGAGCTAGCTAAAATACTGTTTGTGCGAAACATTTGTATGTTTTTATATGAATGTATATTAGATCATATTTAACGCTATTAATTTCAAACCAAAAGCCAAATGTATTTACCCAATCCTTACAAAATACCAAAATATTGGGGAAACAAATGTTAGTGGCTCTTTAAAAACTGGGAAATTGTGTAAATTGTAACTTTTGGCTCTTCAGTCTGAAGAGGTTCCCGACGCCTGGGCTGGTGGTGCAGCGAAAACAGTTTCCTCATTGGTAGTGGATTGGGCTAGGGCCGGAAACCTATGGCTTTTTAATGTCAATATGCGGCTGTCCAGTTCGTTAATAATTATATTATTTAATTTCACAACTAAAAAAAATATACTGTAAAACAAAATCACCTTTAAACAAAATAAAAAAGAATGAGGATAGGTGGAGTAGAGCAGGGGCGTCGGGAGGTGGGGGCGGGGGATGCGGACCGCACCGGGTGGCACTATTTTGGGGGTGACACCAAGATAAAACAAATTGCAAAATAAATAGATGAAAAACTGTTTTGCTAGTTAGTTAATGCTTAATTAGAGTGAAAAAGTATTTTAAATACAAATTGGCAAGGGTGGGGAGCTAACTATAGTGAAAACAATGCTACATCCAACTGTATTAATTACCTACTATAGATAAACATCGTACACACTTTAAAGCTACCATCCTAGGGTGACACCAACTGAAAAATGTACACAGGAAAAAAAATTTTAAGTTGAATATTTTCAGTTAATGGTAATTAAAGTCAATCAACAATCAGTACGAAGTGCACATAAAAATGTAAGTGGCTCTTTAAAAATTTGGAAATGTTGTACATTGTAACTTTTGACTCTTTTGTCTCAAAAGGTAACCGACCCCTGTATTTTGCAGCTGTTTTACCAAAAGCCCAGATTGAAACATTAATAGTTGTCAAAGCTAAGCACGAATTTTTCATGAATAAGGTTTGCCGGAAACTTTGCATAAAATTGATTTCAATGCATACAAGTCAAGTTTACCTGATACTACAATGGCTGATAGATTTCAAACTGTAGATCAAGCATTGAATATCCCATACCCTGTTGATAAGGAAAATGTCATGAACAAAGTTGAGTAGGAAAATGACAAGTTGGTGAAGCAAGCAAAAGCATTGGTGGAAAATGTGAAAAAGAGAAAGCAGGAAGCAAACAATTTCTTCAAAACTTGGACACACTACCAAAGTATGAAGAGATGAGCGTGGAGATGTACAAGTACAACTTCCCAGAGACAGCCTATAACTTTGACCCATCCTACGCCAGGCCGTTGCTGGTACAAGATGAAAGGGAGTGGCCCAGAGGCGCCCGGGGACAAACTTTCAATTTGTTGCCCCCCTCGGGAGCAACCTTTCAATTTTCCATTTGCACCTTTCCCCTCAAACTTTCAATTTTCACCCCCCCCCCCCCCTAAAGATTTTCAATTTTCATTCCCGCCCCTCTCAAACTTTCAATTTGCACCCCCACTAAAACTTTCAATTTGTTTTTCCAAACCATTTCGACGCCATCTAAGGTCGACGCCCGGGGACATATGTACCCCCCCCCCCTCGCTAATCGCCTGGAGTTGCCTCTCAAGGCTTGAACTCTGCCGGCAGGTCTTGTGATATAGATTAAATACAAAAGTTGTCTTTCATAGCTGTGTCCTATAGAATAATAAAGTTGTTTATTCTTGGGAAAAAAATGTGTTCAAATTAAATGTTGCAAACATTTTTTTTAAACTAATATAGGCCTAATGTATAATAAAATATATTGTAACAAAACTTCAACTGGCCTCAAAGAATGTATATTTTTCACTATTTCTAGAGTAAAAAAAACAGATACCTTTAGCACCAGACATGTATTTAACATTTTCTTCATGCTTTTGGTGAATTTAATTGCCATATAAATACTCCACCGACAGTCCCACGCCTCAGCCCACATTACCCTTACTCTTGTACTATCTACAGTCTGGGAATATGTTCAAGGGGGGTAATTCATTATAAATAAAACAGTGAGTTAAAATACGGGTTACCTCCCCGGGTTCTTAGTTTAAAGAAATAAAATATTAGCCTATACAAAAACCTTTTTACAAATTAACTTTATTGAAGTCACCAGAACGATAAAAAGACACTGTCTCTAGTTTAAATGTTGGCTTATGTATTCGTTTGAGATTAAAAGTGTAAAAAATGGGGATTAAAATGCAAATAAATCTTCAAATTTTGTAATAAATATGTCAATTAAATTTACCCTTCTAAAGTAAGCATCCTAGTTTGCAATAAATTCTATTATAAACAATGATGTGATATATCTAGCCTATTGTGTCTAGGTACAAATGATTTTCATGTTCAGACTACTAACTTTTTTGTCAACACACATTAATAAAATTAAGTTATGCTTTAAAGTTAGGAGTGCTGTTTGTCATTCCGGAATAGTGTTTCTTCCAGACTTTTTTCTCCGGAGGTGCACTTGAAATTTTCAGGGGGGGGGGGCGGACACTGTTAAAATTATATAAAAGTATATTGTGTTTTAATTAAATTTCATTTCGTTCGAGGGGTGGTAGATTTTCTTCGCGCGCTGGGGGGGGCCTCCCCCCCCCCCCCCCACCCGAAGAGATTCCTGGAAGGAACTCTGTTCCGGAGTTGTTCTTCGATCGATTTCAATAGACTTTTCACAGTCCAAGTGAGGTCAAGCTAATTAGATATGTTATAACAAGCAGCCAACATTGACCCCATGACCCATAGGGTCATTAGACTTTTAAGACTTTTTTAACACAAAGAAAAGAATTGTAATACACATTCAATAGATAAATTGCACGCGATTTTATTTTAAAATGGAAGCATTATGGTTTCCGTTCAACAATCATAAATAAACGCATAATTGACAAGTATAGATGAAACAAACATGCTTTAAACTCAATTTAATATACAAAACAAATACAGATTTACAAGCTATTTACAATTTTAATAAATATGCGCTAATTAGCGTTGAGAGATGCTGATGTTGATAAATAAATCAAAATAACTTTACAATTTTTTTATCATTTTAGAGTGGAATAATCATTATTTTCATGATCACTATTCGTTAGTCACAGACGTCTATTGCTCAGAGAACACAATCAAGTTTTATCAAAGTCCCGCACAACTGGTGTACTCTATTCCCGTCTCACCAACACCATAAAAACATTCCATTCTGTTTTATTAAGTCCCACACACCAAATGTACTCTATTCTCGTCTTCCTAACACCATAAATACATTCCACTCTGTTTCGTCAAAGTCCCACACCAAATGTACTCTATTCGCGTCTCCCCAACACCATAAAAACATTCCACTCTGTTTTAACATTGATGGTGTCATCTGGGTCACCATTTCTGCTTCCTAGTATCAGAGCTAGGCTGTAAATGAAATCAATTAAATAACACTAATTAAAATTCATTATATTTATAGCAAAACTATTACAACAACAAAATATTTTCGTGTACTGAATTTTTTTTTCAAATGAGATAATCCATTATTCAAATTGTAAAATGGGGACAAAAATGGTTCTGTTTTTTTCTATGATGGGAAGGCCTCAAATTGAAAGACCTTTTAACTACATATACTTCAGTAAACAGAGAACTGGAGATGGTGGTCCACACCTCAGCTAAACAGAGATCGATTGAGAACTATTGGGCTAGAGTCATGGTTGACTCACTATACCTAATTATGCTAGGAACGAATTATGATGATATCATTTAGGTGACCCTAGGTCGTTTGATAACAACTATCTATAAGAGCTGATTAATGCAAGGAACATTTTAATCTTTTTTAGAAATAGAGATTTAAACAAACCCTTAGAGAAGAAAATCAGCACATTTAAATGAAGACTTAATACAATATTTTATAAGAATCACACAAAAAAACACTTACGATTTTTCGATTTCCTCTAAGATATTTGATTTGGGAAAGTCTCTTAAATATAGATTGATATAATGGAAAGACGCAATGTATCCTATGTATTCTTTCAGTGTCATCTCTGCTGGTATCTTTATACCATCGTATCTGTAGTAATGGCAATATACAAGCAGTCAATGTCAGCTACTTATAATTAATGAACTTCTTAAAGCTAGCAACATGTCTTTAGGCAATATATAAATAATAACGAATGTATTTGAAATTAGTTGTTTTATTCTAATTTAAACAAAGTGTAAAAGTTGTATCATCAATACTGTATATTTGTTTTGTTATTTTTTTAAAATATAATTATGTCATGTATTTGTTACGTCAAATAATTTACCTTTTAATGTGACTAAATGGAAATTTTATTGTGGCGTATTTATTCTCCATAACATCAAGTCGTGACGTCAAATATTTACCAAACACTGTGTGGAGCATCTGAAACCCGATTTCAAGTAAAATTTACAGGAACGTCATCTTTCTTCTTCTTCTTCTTTTTTTAATTTTAGTGTAGGAAGGGATCCCCTTCAACACAATTAAGTATACATGTCAACTGATTATGCACAATTGAGGCCATTGACTCCGATTTTAGCCTGCTTTTCTTTTTGTATTTGCTTCCATAGCCTTTGTCCAACAAAGAACAAACTACAAGGCAGCAGTTGTTTGATTTTAGAGTTTTCTATCCTGGAAGAGTGGTTATCCCCAGCTAACGAGCCAGGAACGTCATGATTGATGACATTTTCAAACAGTCAATCCAACACCTACTACTTAGTTTGTGTGAGATGAAATGGTAGGAAATAAAAACTATAAGCCTTACCCATATCAAGGCAATTTATCGGATAGATTTATAATTTGGTAAAGACGCTACATTTTACTAATTCTTCATGCTTTGGCAATAGGTACACACACAAATATATATATATATATATATATATATATATATATATATATATATATATATATTTATATATATATATATATATATATATATATATATATATATATATATATATATATATATATATATATATATATATATATATATATATATATATATATATACATACATACATACATACATACATACATATGTGTGCGTGTATAAATACACATTTATATTCATGAATATTCATGACTATTGAGCATAGTGGCCATCAGACAAGGGGAAAGGATGGCCATATGTTGTCCCCTGTACTTACTTTCTTCATGAAGGTCTCTGCCTCATTGTTGGCCAACTGATCAAACCAGTAGCTATAGGCCACAAACGTCCCACCTGGCTTCAGTACTCGCCTAGCCTCGTCAAAAAATCTGGCCAAAAATTGATGTTAATTTTTTTATTTTTATTTTGTTCAAATAAATTAATATACGTGTACAAATTTCTATTACAGAGTTAACTTTGGAGTCATTTTAAAATATACAAAAAGTACTTGTATCTACTTAAATTATTTCTTTTTTAAACTGAGGTATGTATTGAGATGGTTGCGCTTGTGAGTTGCTTGTAGTGTTTCTTCCAGACTTTTTTCTCCGGGGGGGGGGGGGGGGGCACTTGAAATTTTTGGGGGGGGGGGGGGGCGGTAAACTTTCTTTGGGGGGGCGGACACTGTTAAAAGTATATATTTTCTATATAAATTATATAAATTTCATTTCGTTCGGGGGGGGGGGGGCGGTAAAAAATTTTCGGGGGGGGGGGGGGCTTAACCCCCCCCCCCCCCCCCGAAGAGATGCCTGGAAGAAACTCTGGTTGCTTGTATGAGTATAATCTAAATTAAAATAGTTACCCTCTGGTTAAGGTAAAATAAAACCCGTATATAAACAATCTTAACTATTTTCTTTAAAATTCTAGTTAATATTTGTAACTAATTATATAGAAGCATGTAAATTAAAATGGCTCAATTTTAAGTACAATGCGACAACATTTTGCACCATCAGTATAGTTGTCACCACAAATTACCAAACACTTTTAACAAACGGAATTCAAGAGTTACAACATATTGAAATTGTACATGATATTCTATGAAGTTTTCACGCATTGTAGTTTTAAAAAAAAAAACAACCATTGAATAAGGTCTGTCTCTGCTAGCTAAAGTGTGATCGCACTATGTTCAATGTTGCACGGACAAAACTAAATTGAAATAAGTAATGTTAATACTATTCGGGTGTTAACATAACTGCGTATTTTACGTCTAAACGACAGAAATCCTATTGGTTCTGATACGACATAGTCCAGGATTTTAATTGGATGACCACTTAGGTACAGCTGTGTTCGTGTAAGCCTAATACTACACCATTTGTAAGTAATCACTTCACTGTTTTTGTTTTAACTATTTCAACATCACGTGATAAGGGCGACCTACTTGTCCCGGTTCACCCAGTGCAGACTGGTTGCTATGGTGACCAGATGCACGGACCCAGATTCCAGGAAGTACAAATCTTCAGCAGACGACACGACCGCTTTCAAATTTTTCACGTCTGTTGGCATCTCGCGCACCTGGTCTTCGCTGATATCGACGCCAGTCACCTGAACAAAATATCATGTTTCAAATTTTTATGAACTAAATATCATGTTTTAATTTTTTCAGAACAAAATATCATGTTTCAATCTTTTTATGAATAAAATATCATGTTTCAATTTTTTTATGAACAAAATATCATGTTTCCTTTTTTATGGACAAAATATCATGTTTCAATTTTTTATGAAAAATATCATGGTTCAATTTTTTTGGACAAAATATGTTTCAATCTTTTATTAACAAAATATGATTCAATTTTATATGAACAAAATATCATGTTTCAATTTTGAATGAACAAAATATTATGTTTCAAAGTTTAATAAATAAAATGATAAATATCCTCCTTCATTTTTTACGAGCAAAATATCATGTTTCAGATTTTTATGAACAAAATGATGCATGAGTAACCCACTAAGTTAAACATATACTAACATTTATGAAAATCAATTATTCTAACAAATTACCATTACGCCATTCAGTAGCCTATATTTGCCATTATTTAACCAACCTTTCCAAAGTATTTAGTCAGGGGTAGAGTACTCTGTCCAGTCCCACAGCAAACATCAACAGCCAACTGCTGGTCACAGGGTGGAGAACCAGGCCGCTCTAGGTGGTAGCTCATGATTTTATCGTACACTTCTTGCGGGTAGCTGGGCCTAAAGGCGGCGTACATCTTAGCGAACGTCTTGCCGGTGTGAAGGCTTTGGAGAAGTTTCTCGCTTTCTTTCAGCATCGTGTCGGTGACGGCTGTGGTGTGGTAGGCACTGATTTATGGCTTCTTCAAATACAGGAGAAAAAAATATAAAATATAATATGACCAGAAAAATAATTAGGTTTATTCAACATTTTTTTACACGATAATGTATTCTAACTGGTCCATATTTAAAGAAAATATTTAATAAAATGTTGTGGTTTGGTCAAAATAGTGCTAAAAGTGCTTGAAATAGAGAGGGAGCGAGAGAAAGAGAGAGAGAGAGAGAGAGAGAGAGAGAACCAATCTAAGGAACGCTTTGCGTTAATGCTGAGCTTGGCATTAGTTCATAGATATGCCGATATCACAGATCAGGTTAACTCTACTTCATCTGCACATCGGATCGCCATACTGTAAAGGGTGACTTGTCTCTACTTACTTTACGAAAGGACGGTTATATGACTTCAAAAACGTTATAGCAGCATGTTCCATTTATTACAATGATATTAAACGAGATGGTAAACTATAAGTGCTTAATTAATATGCTTGTTTTCTTTCTAAAATGTTTTAATTCATTCTTTAATTATAAAGCATTTGAACTGCATGATTATAACTGAATTATAAATTTAGTGAATATAAAAGAGAGGGTTGTTATAACGTAATACTTAAGATTGTCTATGGTTTAACTATTCGAATAAATTATCTTAGTGATAAATCAAGTACACAAAAGATGTTTTGTCATAAACATCTAAAAGATTCGATAATATATTATACTTATTCTAATATTCTCTGTCTGCCAGTAAGTCGAGTATATTCTGTCTGTGTTTCAGCCTTATAGAAGGTTTGTCTGTCAGTCTTGTATAAGCTATCCGTGTCTGTATTTTTGCGGTGTATGTCTATCCTTCTGTCTCATTGTAAGTTATTCTATATTCTCTTTGTGGCGATTCTATCTACGTATCGCTCAGACTTATATTATACTTTCTCTGTCTTGTAAGAATAATATTTCTTTTGTTCCGCGTTTTAATTGTATGTCTCTCTTCCAGCCTAGTTTAAGCAAAGTTCTACTGTCTACACTCTCAACTGGAACGAGTTCAGTCTGTCTTCCAACAAAGTTAAAAAAAAATTTTGTCTATCTTTAAATCATATTATAATAATTTCGTCTCCATGTTAAAAATATTTCCTCTGCTAATTATGCAAGCATCTTTATTTTTTAAAAAAAATTTTAAAAATTGTTCTAACACAAACACATGAATATAAAAACGGAAACAACTAGAATTATACAGAACTTTCCTACACTATCAATACCTACACTAGTTAATGTAAAGTATAAGTGTCGATTTAACTATCGGTTTGTCTCCTTTCTCGACTTCTCATGAGTCAACTCTCCCCATTTATAGACTTGCCGAGACTAGCAAATGACGCGGGCAGAAGTCCAAAATTCATTGCAGTAGTTACGCTTGACAGAATCTGTGGGTGGGGATTACCTCACAAGGCCGTAGGTCACGTTATGCCCACGTGACTTGATACTGTTGTATTTTTAGATGTAAATGTTACCTTGAGTTGCGTCATAACATATAACCTTGACATTAGGTTCACACTGTTGTTTCCAATACTTCCAGGTGTTTTCCTCTATAAAGTCACAAAAAAATTATCGTAGGTTTTGTACTTTTAGATAATTCGTAATTTCAGAAAACAAATACAGCTGTGGGTACTCTAATAACGTTTTTTTCTCATCTCTTACCCTTTAAAATTGACCTCGACGTAGAGCTCGACCTAAACTTTAATCTATACCGAAAACTAGATCTTAATCCTAACCTGAACCAAAACATCAACATCGACATCAACCCCATCTTGACTACGACCACAACCCGAATACTAATCAGACTGGAGCCTCATCCTTATCATCAACCTTGAACTTATCACTAACCTGATCCTGCATCGAAATCGGAACCGAATCTTAAAACCTATACCTAAACCTAAATCTATCCTTGATCGTGGACATAAAAGCTTAATCGCAACCTTTTTGCTTTCGTGATATTTTGTTATTAATATTTACCTTTTATGAACTAATTCATTTAATGTATTTATTCAAACTGACATCGTTGTATTTGCGGTTGTTTTTTTTCAAAGGATATACTCTTTATTTTACCATCATTTTGACTTATTTTAATATTATCTTTTTATTAAATGGGCGGTCTCAGATTTATAGTCACTAAGACGTGATTGTATATCTATTATATAGATAATTCACACATTGAATGTAAAAATACTGAGTGCTCTAAATTTTTATAGTTTCTATTTTTCCGTTTAACTAAACTTTTAGCTCAAAACTATCTCAAATAAGCATAATATATATATATATATATATATATATATATATATATATATATATATATATATATATATATATATATATATATATATATATATTGCATATTAAAAAGTAAAAACCATAGCATTAAGTTCTCTCAGGCCGACTGTAAATTCATAAAGACACCTATTTTTATTCAAACAATACTGTAAAATCAATACGTAACGAGATGCATTTTTTAAAATTAATTAACCATCTCCCAGTTGGCAATTACCCAGCTCTGGAGTGCTGGGTAAACAAGCCATATGGTATTGCAGTATCCTTTGTTTCTATCGGCTGCGGCTTACGACATCACCCACGTTCACGGCCACGTGACCTAAGTGTTGCACGTTACCTGGATTTAACAGTGCAGTTTTAAGTCATCAAAATCGGTCAGGCGTTAAAGTGAACCGACGACTAAACAAAAGGGAAAATATAGTCAAACTACGTACACATATTTTCAGCGACGTGGGCGGATTGTATCTTTGGAACGTTTAGGGTTGACTTTAAGGATATATTTAGGTTTAGTTTTTGGATGAGATTTAGTTTTAGGTTTTTAATTAGGCTTAAGTTAATGTTTAGGTATACATTTGGCACGGTTTAAGGTTTAGTCCTGCGTCAAGGTTTGGTTGGGTTTAATGTGAAGGTATAGGTGTAGGTGTATCAGTCAATGTCGGTTAACGTTTAGGTTTAGGATTAGGATTAGGATTAGGATTAGGATTAGGTTTAGGTTTAGGTTTAGGTTTAGGTTTAGGTTTAGGTTTAGGTTTAGGTTTAGGTTTAGGTTTAGGTTTAGGTTTAGGTTTAGGTTTAGGTTTAGGTTTAGGTTTAGGTTTAGGTTTAGGTTTAGGTTTAGGTTTAGGTTTAGGTTTAGGTTTAGGTTTAGGTTTAGGTTTAGGTTTAGGTTTAGGTTTAGGTTTAGGTTTAGGGTAGGGTTAGGGCTAGTGCTAGTGCTAGGGCTAGTGCTAGGGCTAGTGCTAGTGCTAGTGCTAGTGCTAGTGCTAGTGCTAGTGCTAGTGCTAGTGCTAGTGCTAGTGCTAGTGCTAGTGCTAGTGCTAGTGCTAGTGCTAGTGCTAGTGCTAGTGCTAGTGCTAGTGCTAGTGCTAGTGCTAGTGCTAGTGCACTAGATAATATAAATACACACATACACACACACATAGGCCTCTCTCTCTCTCTCTCTCTATATATATATATATATATATATATATATATATATATATATATATATATATATATGTATGTTTATATATATATGTATATGTATATATATACTTTATGTAAACTTCGACACTCAAACACAAAATCTTGCCTACGCCTTTGTGGAAGTATTTCCCACTCCTATAAATAGGTCACAGTTTAAAACTGTAAGTGTCACCTGTTTGACGCAATAAAAAATGTTGACTCAGTGAATTAGCATACCTTTTTTTAAATAAACAGCTATTCAATAAACAGTATTTAGAGACTTGTCACCGGTTTTACGTTCTTAACCGACATAGGTCAAGTTCGTATGGGCAAAAATGGGAACAATTTTTTTTTGTATAATGCTTTTGCTTCACAAAAGCATCATTGGCTTGTGGAGACGAAGCCTTGACAATAGCTGGCAGTATGTGTAACTTAAAAGGATAAATATTCTTTAGAGCTTAGTGATAGACTATTTGATGGCCGACTGGATAAATTTTATTCAGTAAAAATTCGGGCAATATTTTAAAAGCCTAAGTTTAATTTTAGTAAAGAACTAGACTTACCCGATCATCCCTTGGATAACTGTGGGTTTCGGGGGTCATCCATAAATCATATCACGTCTGTCACTTATCATCACAAAATAACCAGACCCCACATTCAAAAAGACGTTTTTTATCGTTTAAAAAAAACGATTCCGGCCGAGCATGTCTCTGACCACACTATCCCTTTCATATGCTTAGGACAAAGAAACAGATGAACTCTACTTCACCTGCCCTGTATCCCGCCAAGTTCAGATAGTCAAGTTTATCATTCACATCTAAAAACAATTGAAAAGAAAAAAATGTAACACTGACGTGATGTCTAGAACCCGTGCCACCCGCAAGAAAGCCTATTACACTAACAACTTAGCTGTCTAGACTCAAGACGTCACTGATGTTTTTTTTTTTTTTAATGAAGGCCTGAAATAGATTCTGGATGTAGAATTCACATAAAGTCTAGATCTAGAATTTACGTTACGTCTAGTGACCTAGATCTAGATCTAGATCTAGATTCATAATTTTTTCTTCCTTCGACAGCTGATCTGTAGATCCTGAGAAATTTATTGTAAAACTAAATGAAAAAGACAGTTGAAAATTGATATTAGTGTTGGAACGTAATAAATACAGCAAACAGACGTATTGGTAAAGTTATAGCCGACAGAAAATTAGCTTTATAACGCGTTAAAGATCTGAATAAGCAACGAAATCTTGTATTGGAGCCGCCATTTATTGTACTAAAAAGTAAACAAATCATGTGACGTCACTATTCACTCAAAGTAAAGTCGTTTTTCTAAACTTTTAAAATTAATGTGGTTAATCTACCAATGAATAAATCAATAGATTAATTAACGTTTTAAATAAATGTGTGATTTTGTCCCAGCAATTCGTGTCATTGACCTGCTTAATATTTTGATCAAATCTTGTTTCAACTAAACAATAAACTGTGTGGTCAAGAATTCACCAGTAGCGTAGCGAGGGGGGGGGGCGGGGGGGACATATGTCCCCGGGCGCCGACATTAGGGGGCGCCAAAATGGGTTGGAAAAATAAATTGAAAGGTTGAGGGGGGTGCAAATCAAAAGTTTGAGGGGGGGTGCAAATAGAAATCTCGAGGGGGGGGGGGGGGGTGCAAATGGAAATCTCGAGTGGGGGTGCAAATCAAAAGTTTGAGGGGGGGGGGGGTGCAAATCGAAATCTTGAGGGGGGTGCAAATCGAAAAGTTTGTCCCCGGGCGCCGGGAAGGGTCGCTACGCCTCTGGAATTCACATGTACGGTTACTGACCAGAAAGTCATGAGTTCGGTTCCTTCTCATTATTAACAGCCGTAAAGTTAAAAAAAAAGAAACAGCTATTTAAATAATGTAATGGTTGATTAAATCCTTAAAGGATATCAACAAGATGTTACACTTTTTCAACTTTCTAATTCGAGAATGTGTTATATAATCTCCCGGCAATCCTGTTTGGGGTGTGTCTACCTCCCGCACCATTGGATACAATCGCATGGATTTAACGGTTCAGTGACTAGTGTTAAAACTGCTAAAAAGGAGTGGGCGTGGCCACGTTAGGTGGGATTAGTTGCTTAGAAAAGTTAAATGCATTTCTTCGCTAACAAGTCAAAATGAACATTTTTTTTAGCACAGATTTCATGAACACATTGCCCACACCCAATTTAAACCCCATTCCCGAACTCTCTTATCCCACCTCCCTAAAATCTAAACTACACACACAGCCATACGATGAAAGACCGCCAACGATTATATTATGAACTTTGCCCGCATTTTTTTCTGACTACATTAAATATGACGCGGTATATTACCGCATTCTTGTGTCTAATGACTGATGATGGAAGTGGTACCTCCTGACTCCAACCCTTCAAGGCGCCGTACAGTCGTGGAGGAGCTCGGGGCGCCAGGTGCGAGACACAGGCAGAGGCGTAGCGACCATTCCCGGCACCCGGGGACAAACTTTCGATTTGCACCCCCCCCCCCTCAAGCTTTCAATTTATTTTTTCCAACCCATTTTGGCGCCCCCTAAGGTCGGCGCCCGAGAACATATGTCCCCCGCCCCCCCCCCCCCCCTCGCTACGCCTCTGGACACAGGACGCACCTGGTTTTATGTAGTTATCTATCGTAGTGGGCAACTTCATCTTTGGTGTATGGCGCTTTTTAAACCGAATGTAGTGGCTTTAGTGTTCATTGGGGAACGGGGGAGGGTGGACCGTCCGTAAAGTCGCCGGAGGATGTCTCCTGGTGGAGATTAAATCAAGTAGTACCTCTGACCCCCTATGCCGAACGCAACGTTAAAAATTCACAAGTTCTATTATAGCCGATATGGAACTCTGCCAAATGGCATCATACATTTTTTGCATAACAGAGATCTTCCGATGAATATTGTCAAGAAATTCTCGAAATCTCAAAGCAGTCGAATGAAAGGTGTAGTAATACATAAGAGAACATAATAAATATTACAAGCCTGAATGTTTAGGACAGTTGTATAGTGCGTACGCACTTGAAATTGTATGGATCTAAAACGGGCTCGACTTGTAAATCAGGCTAAGAAACATGAAGGTCGGGTGAATCTGGGGTAAACCGGATAGACTTGTTGTGAACTGGAGAACTGGAATGCTCAAAACACCAGTCAATATCTAAACTGGACCTTAGTCCAGCCAGCCTTAACGCATTTATATCTAAAAACGTATACTTCTATATAGAAAGTTTTTTTATAAAACGATATAGTGAAACCTGCGTGATAAATCATTAGTTTAAACTCCTTACTCTGATGTGAATGACTTAATTTTAAATATTTCCATATAAAGCAAAAAGGTAATATATTTTCAATATTAAAACTTCATTTTTTTTAGAGATCTTTTATGACTAAAATTTGAATTATCTTGTATTTCCCCTTCTTAAACAACTTCAGTCTGCTGAAAAACGAAACGCGCATCATCATAATACTATGTCAATTTAAAAAAAAAACATTCGCCTTCCAAACAACACGTTTCTATTACAGCGAGAATTGTCATTGACATTCCTCTTTCAGCTTACATTTTAATCATAACATGTAAGGTATCCGGTTTAGCTTGAATAGTTGCACACCGAAAGTGTTCTAGTCCTACTTTTGTTATGAGAACGAAAGTCCTAGTGCTCTAGTCCTACTCTTATTACAAGGCCGAAAGTGCTCTAGTCCTACTCGTATTGCAAGGCCGAAAGTGCTCTAGTCCTACTCTTATTACAAGGCCGAAAGTGCTCTAGTCCTACTTTAGTTGCAAGGCCGAAAGTGCTCTAGTCCTACTCTTATTACAAGGCCGAAAGTGCTCTAGTCCTACTCTTATTACAAGGCCGAAAGTGCTCTAGTCCTACTCTTATTGCAAGGCCGAAAGTCCTAGTCCTTCTTTTAGAATTTTACCTGCAACCTTTCGTAAAATGAACTTACAGATAGCATTATAGTATTCTTACGCAAAATATATCAGTACAATATTACAGTTTTTCATCCACTGATTCAAGATCTTTTAGGTTAATCCACATGACACGATCGTACTCGGGGCGTGTCTACTATTTCCTAAGTGCTTGTAGTAATACGTAGTTACATGGTTCAATGAACGTTTTAGTACTAAACAGTGGTAATACGTAGTTACATGGTTCAATGAACGTTTAGTACTAAACAGTGGTAATAGGTGGCTTGTGAAGCTTGAGAAGGGGACGGCGTAGTGGCGTGGATTAACGTAGTTTAGTGCTTTTAATCGGGAACCACGCCTGTATGTGCATTGTGCTGCACACTCCACCCGACACAGTTCACTGAATTCACATTCACTCATTCCCAAATACTGCTCAAATGTTTGCCCCTCTTTCTTCACCACATTCATCTCAGTTAGTTGCAACCCACCCCTTCTCCTTTTACCCCCCGATTATTTAGGACCCACTAAATATCAACACACACACACTGTTTACTTAACACTGCCAACATTTCGTTTCAGACCAACCTTATTTAAACTTTAACACATACCGTATACACCATTTATGAGTAGGTCTATTAAAAACTATCCACATTTTTCTCAGTGATTTCTTGTTTGGCTGTACAGCTTCCATAATACAGTTATTATCCAGGTAAAGTCTAACTAAACCATCAAATTTTCTTTGATAGTAGTCTTGAACTGTAAGTTAAAATCTCGATCAAACTAATACATGAAAGACTGATTGATATTGTATCAATTTAATATTATTTATCCATAAGTAGACTTAAAAGACAAAAGATAACAAAATAATCTAGTTCATTTCTAATACATACACAAAACTAGTTAGGCCCTATTCAATTTGTTGTTCTAGTTGAAATTATCTAGTTTTATGTTGTTTTTTTTTAAATAATTCACAAACCCTTACCAATTTTGATAAAGAATAATTTAATAACTATTGAAGTTTTTTTTAATGTTTTTTTAAGTAAATACGGAAAATTAAAATATTTCGAAACGCGACTTTCTTGACAGAAAATTTACAGATTATCTTTTAAAGTCCAAATCCCTTCTCCCTTTTCTTATGATATTTAGTTACAGTTTCATCAATGTTTTTGATAAGTATAGAATTATTAGCGTGGTATTATGTGCTGTTCTTGTGGATTTTGTTTACAAAGTGCTTTTTATAAACATATAATACGTCCTGAAGTATTTAAAGGGCTAGTTACATAAAGGGGGACTGAGGGCTAGTTATACAAAGAGGGACACAGGGCTAGTTATACAAAGAGGGACAGAGGGCTAGTTATACAAAGAGGGACACAGGGCTAGTTATACAAAGAGGGACAGAGGGCTAGTTATACAAAGAGGGACACAGGGCTAGTTATACAAGGGGGGGGGGGGGGGTTGAGGGCTGGTTATAAAGAGTGGAGAAGTAGGCTAGTAATAACAATGTTCCGGATCTAACCTATATATAAACTCAACATAGATACTTAAAGAGGGTAAGAGGAAAATGTGCATCCCATATCAGTGTGCATCAATTCTCCCTCAAGGCTGAATTTTATTTGAGTTAATTAATCATCCTAGGTAGGCTAAGTGAAATGGTTGGGATTAGAATCTACTTCGTGATTAATTTATTTTAACCCAACAAAGATCACTAGCACCCTACTTTCTATTGCCCCATTACCAGACTAGTATATAATAATATACTGCTCCTCTGTAGTACGATGGTGAGAGCATTTCAAAACGTAAACGAAGCTCCAAATTTAAACATACGTAAGCAATAGAATAGACAATACGAAAGCCTTTTCGTTAATGAATCAACTTTTGAATTTTCGCACTATTAAATCGCAGCTTGTTTTACTACTATAGAGAGGAACAACTGACCTTTTGTGAGTTACCATATAAATTATCTTCAAGTAGTTAATATATTATTATTTATTAATGTACGATCGTATAAAATTTTCTAAACTTTCACACACATTTAACTAATCATATCAATGGTCTTTTTGTTTTAACCTACCTATAAAGCCAATAACGCTGTAAAAATTTAAAAGTATGCAGACCAAAATACTTTTTAATACTACGTCTGGAATGTATTTATTCAAATTTTAAAAATTACAATGTGGCTAATAATATAATATTTATTGTAGAAAACTACTTACATCATAAATGTATATATATATATATATATATATATATATATATATATAAATTTTATATTAATAATATAATATTTATAGAACGTATATAATATATTAAGTATATATATATACATATATATTATAAATAATGTACACACACGTATATATATATATATATATATATATATATATATATATATATATATATATATATATATATATATATATATATATATGATGTTTTGTTTAGGAGAATGCACAAAGATATAGACGAGTCAATACATGAACTGCACACCGGCAAGACGTTCGCTAAGATGTACGCCGCCTTTAGGCCCAGCTACCCGCAAGAAGTGTACGATAAAATCATGAGCTACCACCTAGAGCGGCCTGGTTCTCCCCCCTGTGACCAGCAGTTGGCTGTTGATGTTTGCTGTGGGACTGGGCAGAGTACTCTACCCTTGACTAACTACTTTGGAAAGGTTGGTAAAATTATGTTTTATGGACTTTGTTGTAGTATTCTGATAATGCACGGTGAATATGTTATTTTCTTATGGGTCCAATAGTCTGCTTGTTTAGGATCTATTTAATGACAAATATATTAACTTTATCCTCAACAATTTTGGCTCCTCGAACAACAACAAAAAAATATAATTTTATCTAAGGTTTCAGTTTGCATTTGCTGAACAATAACGATAACTCTGTTTAATTGATAAAGTATTAAACATTTCCATCATTATCTCCCCTTGCCAGGTTATAGGTACTGATATCAGCGAGGACCAGATAGGGGAGGTAAGGAAGGACGTGGAGAATCTAGAGACGGTTGTCGCCTCGGCTGAAGAGTTACATTTCCTGGCGACTGGGTCTGTCGACCTGTTGACCATCGCGACAGGTCTGCACTGGGTCGACCGTGACAGGTATGTTCAACAAGGGTGTAGTACTCACCCATACACAGCCAGTTGTCTGTTGAGTTTTATTCTTGGTCGTGCCAGGGAAGAATTGCAGGGACAGCTCGCTAGCAATACACTTGATATCATATGACAAAATATACCTACACACACAGACATATAGACACACACACAGGCGAACACACAAGCACATCCACATAGACACACACACACACACATGCACGTACACACACAGACTGAAACACACACGCGCGGGCATGCACACATAGACACACACACACAAACACACGCACACACACAGATAGACACACACGCACACACACACAGACACATACATAGATAGACAGAAGCACACAAACACACGCACACACACTCGAACACACACACACACACACCCACAATCACACAATCTTGAACTCTTTCCAGGTTCTTTAAGGAAGTGAGACGTGTTCTGCGACCGGGGGGAACGTTTGCGGCCTACTCGTACCGTTTTGATGCCTTAGTAAACAAAGAGGCGGACACATACATGGAGAATGTAAGGATCGGTGTTTCTTCCAGACTTTTTCCTCCGGGGGGGGGGGGGCACTTGAAATTTTCGTGGGGGGTGGGGGCGGACTAAAATTTCCATGGGAGTGGGCGGACACTGTTAAAAGTATATATTTTTTATATAAATTCCATTTCGTCCTGGGGGTAGACTTTACTCGGGTGTGGGGGGAAGGGGGGGGGGGAGTGAAGAGATGCCTGGAGGAAACACTGGTAAGGATACCACAGAATTGTAACTCACTTTTTAGTTATAAAGTAACACACATCATTAAATCTCCTTGCTTACAACATGTAGTTTAAATATAAAAACTTAAGCAACGAAAAATTGTGTTCTTTTATTTTCCAGCTAAGGGAGACGACATTTGCTAAATACCTGACCTCGAAGTTAGATGTGGTTGATAATAAATACTCCACGATTATCTTTCCTTTTTGTGATATCAAGAAGTGAGTACTACTAAAAAAAAGACGTTATGTTATGTAAACTGTGTGCGAATTTAACAATACCTCCCATTTTAAAATGGCTGCTTCGCTACCTGTTTCTTCACTGCTCTCCCCTGATGCATGTCTACCACCTCCCCCCCCCCCCCCCCCCCACCCCCCACAACTAAAAAAGAAACAAATATATAATGTATATTGAAAATATATAATTTAATCGGTATCCGCCCCCCGCCCCCCACACTGATAATTTAAATCCTTCTCTCCCCTCCTCGAAAGTTTCAAGAGCCCTTGCACACCAACCCTAGGAGAAGAATATATGAAACTTGGGTGTGTATGTTAAGATATTAACCGACATATCAGCCCAAGCGTTTAGGGTTTATTCTTATTTTAATTCATGTTTATATAATCCTCTAGTTCTTAGACCAGGGTTTATATAGAGAACTATTTAAATATTTAAATTTAATATTTTACTTAAAACAAATACTATAGGTAGAAATCTGCGAAGAAAAAGCAAATGAATTAGTATGAGAAATAGTTCGTTTAGTTGGGTTTTGTGTCTTGATGTTATTATTAAAGTTGTTTCGCTTGGTATGCATGTGTATCTCCTGTAGACAATACATTGCAAATTGTGTACACGTAAATAAATGCAACTCATTATTACGTAAACTAGACTTTACTTTTAGACCACCTAAATAACAATATCCATACTTTCTTAAGCAAATTTTCTTCTTATTCGTTGAAAAAAAAAACGCCTCAAATTATTTTAAAAAATTGAAATAAAAATTTAAAAAAAAAATTTTCTAAAAATTTCATCCAGTAGAGCAGATGAAATAGAGCTAATTTGTTTCTTTGAACCTTGACATATGAAGAAACGTCTAGTCCTCTCTCACAACTTTAAAATCGAGTCTGTTGCAGTGTTTCTTCCAGACTTTTTTCTCCGGGGGGGTACTTGAAATCTTCGGGGGGGGGGGGGGGCGGTAAACTTTCTTCGGGGGGGCGGACACTGTTAAAAGTATATATTTTCTATATAAATCATATAAATTTCATTTCGTTCGGGGGGGCGGTAAAAAATTTTCGGGGGGGCTTTGCCCCCCGAAGAGATGCCTGGAAGAAACTCTGGTCTGTTGTATGTTTACTCTCCCTAACCCAAGTTAAGTACAACAATGAATTTGTGTCAACTCACAATCTATGGACTTTCAGACAAACCAACTTGCTCACAACCACGTTAATGTAACTCACATAACCCTGGGGTAATGTTTTTTTCCGTAGACACGACGGGATCTCCATGAACTCAGAGATGCCGCTAGATATGTACATGCTATACCTGTCATCGTACCACTACATCAACATGTACAAAAGGGAATTCCCTCAGTCAAACATCATGGACGAAATATGTACAAAGTACGTTTAATTATGTAGCGTATTACTAGTATTATTGAAAATATTCAGATAAGATAAATATTAATTATTAGATAACATTCAGAATTTCTACCAGAATAGTATCATAAAAAGGCTAATTAAAATGTCACAAAGATGGGAATAGATCATAAAATAAATCTGATAATATATTATCTTGAATGTGTTATGTGTATAGTGTTAAACAAGCGCACAGTTTAAAAAAAAAACTACACAATTTTTTAGTCTTTAACTCGTTTTTGCTAAACACTCTACAAGTCACAAAAAGTATTGCGCAATATACACATACTACCTGCTCATATTTACGCACATTACCTGCTCATATCCATATATGACCTGCTCTTATACACATACTACATGTTCACAGACATATATACATACTACATGTTCATAGACATGCACATTATCTGCTTATATATACATACTACATGTTCATAGACATGCACATTATCTGCTTATATATACATACTACATGTTCATAGACATGCACATTATCTGCTTATATATACATACTACATGTTCATAGACATGCACATTATCTGCTTATATATACATACTACATGTTCATAGACATGCACATTATCTGCTTATATATACATACTACATGTTCATAGACATGTACATTATCTGCTTATATATACATACTACATGTTCATAGACATGCACATTATCTGCTTATATATACATACTACATGTTCATAGACACGCACATTATCTGCTTATATATACATACTACATGTTCATAGACATGCACATTATCTGCTTATATATACATACTACATGTTCATAGACACGCACATTACATGTTCATATACACATACTACATGTTCATAGACACGCACATTATCTGCTCATATATACATACTACATGTTCATAGACACGCACATTATCTGCTCATATATACATACTACATGTTCATAGACACGCACATTATCTGCTCATATATACATACTACATGTTCATAGACATGCACATTATCTGCTTATATATACATACTACATGTTCATAGACACGCACATTACCTGAGCATGTACAAATACAGCCTTGTTCATTAATGCATATTACCTGCTCATATACACATATTACCAGCTCCAATACACATATTACCTGCTAAGTACACAAGCACATGTTCTGCACATATACATGCACATTGCTTTCATACACACATATTACCAGGCCACGTATACAATACCTTTGCACATGCACGCACATTACTTGACAAGACCTCCCCAGCTGCTGAACCAATTACACACTTAGGCTACATAACCACATACATTTGTGCATTAATAATCTTTTATTTTTGCTAATATTAGAACTATCCTCCACATAAACACACTATCAATGCTCATATACTATGTGGACCTGCTAATTCTTAATCCTTTGTATTAACCCGTTTCCAAGAGTGTAGATTTCTATTGATTTTGTTACACACTTGCATCGGTTTTCTTTCTTTATTTATCTTGTAGGTTGGCGAGATTTCTAAGTGACGGAAACACCCCAATAGAGAAGATTAGCGTCAAGAGTAAATTCAACGTCTTCATAGTGCTGGGTAGAAACATATAAACTACCTATCCCAGATTTTTTAAAATTTTGAATCTTCTAAAGATCATTGTTGAACACAATTCACAAACTAACACATTAAACTAATAGTGTTAAAATAGTAAAATTTCTTTCAATTGGATAGAATCTTACAAAACAGTTTTCACAAAAACATTTTGTCTTAGTAAACAGGATTTAAACTATCTAGTGTTAGCAACCTTAAATTGCAAGGAGAATTAAGTCAGACATGTATATATATATATATATATATATATATATATATATATATATATATATATATATATGGATCCACAGTCTAATAGACCATTGGATGATCGTTTGATAGTCAAACTTTTAGTCATCAGTTTAATACGATGAAAAAAAACACATTTCTGTCTAAAATACGATCAACTCTGCTTTCTAAAAAAAATGTTGATGTTGCAACAAAATAAAAACTCCGGGAGAACTGGATGAGCTATAAAGTAAACACACTCCTAATTGTCAAATGAATGGCTGGCTTAACTTTATAGCCTCAACACATAGGCTGTGACTGCCTCATGATCTGATCATTGCTTCTCTAGTTAAGTCATACTATGAATGAAATTTTGAGCTATGATATGTCTTAGTAGGTAAATAATACAGTAAATACACTGCCATATACAACTTTGGTGGTGCGGTAGTCCATACGATATACAAGAGTTCAAACATTCACAATTGGTAGAATTCACACAGTTAAGATGGTACTTGAAGTATATGAGAAACATTCTGGTGATCTTTCCAGTTTCCAAATAATGTATGTGTATACTATATTCATAATAAAAAATACAAAGTCTAATGTATATACCGTACTTTTATGCTTTAAAAGTATACGATGTTATTTACTGAAATAAAATAAAAATACATCATCGCTCACAACAGTACAAGCTTTCTTTTGATAAACACTTATTCGAAACTGTAAAAAAGTGTATGATTTCTTATTGGTCTGCAGCTAGCTTGATTAAAGCAATCTTAAATAAAAGCTTGTTTTTAGATTGACAAAACTTAAAAATAAACGAAATACGTTTTAACTAGAAATAAATCCCCTAAAGGCGTATGTGCTAAACATGTTGAAACCGTTCAACGAATTAACTTATAAAATTAGTTGTACATTTTTACAGCCAGCGACTATTGATTTCTCGGTTCTATGCATCAACATCAGTGAGTTCGTTCTAATTTTACGCTGGCTGATCGGTTTTACAATTATTTTAAAAACAAGATCAATAACTCTTATTTAACGAGTAAAAGTTGCATTATAACATACGACATTATTGTAATAAAAATTCTAACCAACAGCCTTAAGGAAAGTTTACCAAGGAACTAAACGTTTTGGGTAATTCAAGATGACAATCTCCCAATAAACAACACGAATGTAGTAACTGAAGGAAAACAATTTAGCTAATCTAAATTGTATGTAAAAGTATATCCAACACAGCGTTTTTACTGTTTCAAACGTCATAAAATGACAATATTGTTTATAACTAAGTGCGTGATCTGGTAAATATTCAGTATGAATTATCGAAGGAAAAAAATATATTTAAAAAAAATATTTATTGCTTACTTTATCGGTAATACACTTAGTAATCTACAATAAATGAATTTTGATTATAGTAATGTAATAGTTGTGTTGCATTTAAACACTCATAAACAAGCAAACAAAATTAACAATAAACAACGAATAAATCAACGTTACTTTATGAACGAAACGTGTACGTTAAACTCAGATTTAAACGCAAGTTCTACATAGAATGAGCTTAGGTAAAGTAAGTTTGATATATTTTTACAATGACGAAGCACCATTGCCTTTAAAATTAAATTCTGCATGTAAATATTTGCAAAGATCATATACAAATCTAACATTACCGTATGAAACAAATTGTATATAGTCATTTTTTTTTTGTTATGCATTACATTTTTTTTTCGCTGTGAACAAGAAACTGACACATGTAATCAAACATCGTACATTTATCAAATAATTTAACATTTGACATTAAGAAAGTATTAAATACAAAATAAATAAATAACTGCATTGGAATAGCTAAAGGCAAGCGACTGCCCACATAAGCTTATATATATATATATATATATATATATATATATATATATATATATATATATATATATATATATATATATATGCTTCTTTGTTAATGCTTGTATTAAATACATGATAAGGTAGCACGACAGTTTTTAGTAAAACTTTCGGATAAAAGAGCCATCCTGGAATTATTATTCTAGGCCAAAAGTTTTCATACTGTTGTAAATAAATTCTTTCCACCATTAAATTTTAAGTTTGAAAGAGATTTAGTTTAATTTATTTATTTATCTTAAAGATAACATATAAAATATTTATATTAGATTTCATAAGAATAAAGAATTGGGTGTTTTGTTTTTACTGAATTTAATTAACACTCTAATATAGTTCTTTGTCTGTAATCATTGGTACTCAAATTATTTTAACTTACACGTGTCTTTTAAAATCGACTTAATTAGTTGGATACAAAGGCATTAGAAGCTTTACTGTTGTCTTTATGTAATTAATAAAGCTGTATTTTAACATTTTGGAAAACTATTTACCTTGATTCCTTTACCGATGTTCAAAAACAGCTCTACATTTTTATCTTAGATTTTAAAAATATAGGTTTATAATATAAACTTGATCTATTGATGGCTGTAAATAGGCGATTTATTTAATACCTCCCTTTGTTAAGTGTTGGCAACTGCATTTATTTTCATGTTTCGTTGCTGTTTTTTTTTATTTTGTAGAAATTTTATTTTAACAGTTATTGACATTCATAACTTCTACGTTGATTACTGGTCTATAAAAAACCATGTTTTGACGCAATCTGTCATTCTTCTAAATTTAAACAACCTTTTAAAATGTTTCTAATTTTGATATCTCAAAAAAAAATTGTGTTTGGGCAGTTTAATTAGAAATAACATTAAAAAGCTAAATCTTTTGTTTTGCTTAAAATTTCAGATATAGCTCAAGTGAAGACGACACTATGTAATCAAAAAATGAAGTGCATAGATTTCCTGTAACCATTCTTACATTCAACTGTGGTAGGGTAATTTAAATGAAATGCTTCAAATATGAATAAAGGTACCAATGATGCTCCTTTGTAAACCATCCATACGTTTCCCTAGGACATATATAACAAGAAAGATAACTCTATAGTAGCCACTACATGGCACACGCTGAGCAAATGGAGACCAACACAACAGATGAATCAGCCACCACATCCAACATTGTTCATCAGGAAAACACTGAGGTTTTAGCAGAAGCCAAAATTTACCTCAATCTTTTGTCATTTTATATTATCTCCCCTATATTGTGTTTCTACGGTATCGTAGGAAATATCATCATCATGTTTATCATGGTTCGTCATAAGTTCAAAGAGTCGACAAACATTTTAATTTTATCTTTGTCCGTGTCAGATCTGATTTTTGTAGTAACTCAGTTAATGCCTTCAGTGATGCTTTTAATCAATGAGTTTGATTCCATTTTGGCGAATACGATACTCGCATTCTACTACTGTATAATTCGACCAGTGAACATCTACACAATGACGTCAAGTTCATACATCGTCACGATCATGACGGTAGAGAGGATGATAGCTGTGTTGTTCCCATTCAAAGTTGCCTCACTCATGACACCTAGGCGCACCACAATCACAGTTGTCGTTACTATGTTTGTCTTATTCGGATTTTACAATCCAAATTTTTTCTTGTTCGACATTGTTTGGGTATACAGCCCAGCATACAACAGAACATTGGCTTTATCTGTTTATTCTAAATTAGCTATAAACAACTTTGCCGTGTTTGAAATGCTAGATCTGCTATTTACGCTTTTATTTCCAACTGCCATTCCACCTTTGGTTATAGGCGTGTGCACTATTTTAATTATTGCTAAACTAATTTTATCTTCAAGACATGTCGCACAAATGTCTAGCAACTCTCTCAAAAAGAAAGCCAAAGATTTAAAATCCGTTAAATTGACTTTATCTCTCTGTGTTTGTGTGATTACTTTTCGACTGTTTCCCACATTTACCACAGGTTTTATAATAAGTCACAGCGACGTTCATATCCCATCGAATTTTGTCTTTTTAATTGCTATCTGGCAGAACTTATCCTTACTTTTCGGTGCGTCAGTTAACCTAAATCTTTTTATAAGAATGAGTCCAAAATTTGCTAAAACCTATATGATAATGTTCTATCGTAAAGTGCTCGACGACAAATAAAAAGAACAGTAAAATGTTTTTACTTTATGAACAAAAATACTTTAAACCATTAGATGCCAGTTTGTGTGTTACATAAGTAGCAGGACTTCACTTCAAGAAATTGGAAACTTTAGCCTTCAATTTTTGTCTACACACAGATAAAACTAGAGATGCTAGTTTATGAAATTGGTAATTGTAATAATTGTGTTAAGTAATCTAAAGTTTTAAAAATTGTTTGAATGTGAAATAATGTATCCACGCTGTTAATGCTTTTCTATTGATTTATTTTAAATGGAAAACTTTTATTTTTCTCGCTATTTAAAAAAATATTCTTGTCATATCAATATGTTATTAATATTAATATAGAACCTACACAATAAAAACAATGTCAAAATAAAAATAATTTTAACAAGGTTTTTAGACATTGTTAACTTCAAAGTTTCAGTTGCTTACTAATAAAGTTATTGAAGTCTGTTTGACTTAAGATGATATTGAATTAAAAAGAAAGGTAAGGCATAAATGTTCCTACACCAACAAGAGCAGTATTGTGTAACATTCATATAATATGAGTGCATACACAAACGTTATATATAGTTGCCAGTATTCAATGCATAGGTTACAAAGCATTAAAGATTTGACTTGGAAAATATGTCATTTTATTATATATATATATATATATATATAGAGAGAGAGAGAGAGAGAGAGAGAGAGAGAGAGAGAGAGGGGGGGGGGAAGGTAGAGAGACAGCGATAGACAGAGAGACAGAAACAGAGAAAGTAGGAAACCACTAAAGTAGTGGGGAGAATGGCATTGTAATGTAATTCTA